GGGCGGGGAAAGGGGGTTTTGGGGCTTTTGGGGGGGCCTTGGGGCTTAGGGGGGGCTTGGGGGCCTTTTTTTTTTTAGGGGGGTTTCTTGGGGGCCTTTTTTTTGGGGGGGTGTGGGCGTAGAGCCATTGGGGCGTTAGGGGGCGAGGGGGCCGTGTGGTCTTAGGGGCGTGTGGAGTTGGGGCCTTGTGGGGCGTTAGGGGGCCGTGTGGGCGTTAGAGGCCTTGTTGGGGCGTTAGGGGGCCTGTGGGTCGTTAGGGGCCGTGTGGGCGTTAGGGCCTTGTGGCTTGGGGCCTTTTAGGGGGCCGTGTGGGGCGTTAGGGGGCCGTGTGGGGCGTTAGGGGGCCGTGTGGGGCCGAAAGGGGGGGGTGTTTGGGGCGTTAGGGGGCCGTGTGGGGCGTTAGGGGGCCGTGTGAGGAGTTAGGGGGCCGTGTGAGGAGTTAGGGGGCCGTGTGGGGCGTTAGGAGACCATGTGGGGCGTTAGGGGGGCATGTGGGGCGTTAGGGGGCCTTGTGGGGCGTTAGGGGGCCTTGTGGGGCGTTAGGGGGCCATGTGGGGCGTTAGGGGGCCTTGTGGGGCGTTAGGGGGCCTTGTGGGGCGTTAGGGGGGGCATGTTGGGGCCATTAGGGGGCCATGTGGGGCGTTAGGGGGGCATGTGGGGTGTTATGAGGGGGGGCCGTGTGGGCCATATGGGGGCCATGTGGGGCGTTAGGGGGGCATGTGGGGTGTTAGGGGGCCGTGTGGGGCGTTAGGGGGCCGTGTGGGGCGTTAGGGGGTGTTAGGGGGCCTGTGGGGCATTAGGGGGTGTTAGGGGGCCTGTGGGGCATTAGGGGGTGTTAGGGGGCCTGTGGGGCATTAGGGGGTGTTAGGGGTGTTAGGGGGCCTGTGGGGCGTTAGCGGCCCGTGTGGGGCGTTAGGGGGCTATTTGGGGCGTAATCATAGCCCACACCGGCAAGCCTCTGAATTTAATAGAACAGGAGTCTCTATTGCCAGAGAGAGTGAGAACAGTATTAAGAGAGAGTGATAGTTATTTTATATAGGGGCAGTAACAGGTTGGTGGGCTTTTCTAAAGCACCACCAGGTTAATGTTTACCTGGGATATGTGGATAAACTCAGCTCCTGTTGACATAACCCCCAAGCTGCACATGCTGTTAACAATGTTAGACAGAGTTGGTCCAATTAAGGACTGAGGTATTTCACTGACTGTACTGTATTCCTAAAGTTAGTAGTGCAAATCATGTTTTTGCTTTTTGGTTCCTCTAGTGGTTTCTTCCTTTCTTCTAGGGAGTTTTTCCTTGCCACTGTGCTGCTGCTCACTAGAAACATCATCTTACCTGTTCTGATCTGAATAAATGGACAATCAAAATTAGGTGGTTGATTTTGTATGGTGTTTATTACAGAAAGGAAAGGTTTCATATGCTATCCCAAATATAAAAAGGTTCAAGTGTCAAAAGGGATACCAACTTTTATCTCTAGTTAATATCTCATTACAACGAGTAGGCTAGGTTGTATCAATGACCTTTGTCTAGTTACTATAGGCTACATGTTTATCTATAAACTAAAGTACTATTGGTTTCTGTCTTAGTATAAAGGTCTAATGTCCACATCAACAACCTTCGACCGACTCCCACTGGAATTTCTTGATGACATCACAGCACGGTGGCGAGACCTCTCCTGCTCTTCTTGAACTCACACACGTAGTACATGGTGGCGTCACACTCCACCTGGTTCCAGGTGCCTGTGGGTGATTACAATCAGGAGGACTCGTCCAAATGGAAGTGTTGATGGTCGCGTTCCCCTGCTCAGATGTTTTGCCGACGCATTCCAGGTCTCACAACACCTGGATAGGTATTTTATGTATCAGCTTTAACCACGTCGTGTGTCATAGCAACCTGGTGCCAGACGGCACAGTCGATGACGTGGCACGCAACCATTGGTTGATGCATGCAACGTCTGAGCAGGGGAACGCGGCCGATATCTTGACTCAGAAATGGTACTAGTCCAAATGTATTTACTGGTTGTGTCTAAAGTGGCACCCTATTGCCCTAGCCTAGCGCACTACATTTGACCAGAGTAGTGGACTCTATAGGCCAGGGAATAGGGTGCCACTTCAGTTTTGCCCCTTTTGATATCTAGAATTAGAATTAGGACTAGTCAATCGTAGTGATTAAATGTTAAAATGTCTTGACGTACCTGTGCTGATCATCTCCACACAGCTGGTGTTGGTAGGGGCCCCTGATGGCTCCTCTAGGCCCCAGGCTGTATAGTTCCTCACTGGGGTCAGGTCTGCATAGACAGGCCCTCCCCCCTTCTGCTCAGCCTGCAGCCCAATGAAGACCCGGGTAAGGCCAGCCTGGGTGACGTAGTCTGCTATCAGGGTGTTGGTGTCTGTTGTTTTGGGCATGGCGAGTATACCGCCCCTCAGTTTACAGTTCATCAGAGCCTCTCTGTACTTTCTGGCCTCTTTCACAATCAGGTAAAATGTATCCTCTGTTTCCTTGATGCCTAAAATGACTGAATATGACATATGAGATGTAATAAGTTGGAGTCAACTCCTTATTCATTCAATCCAATATCAGTCAAAACTCCTTATTCATTCAATCCAATATCAGTCAAAACTCCTTATTCATTCAATCCAATATCAGTCAAAACTCCTTATTCATTCAATCCAATATCAGTCAAAACTCCTTATTCATTCAATCCAATATCAGTCAAAACTCCTTATTCATTCAATCCAATATCAGTCAAAACTCCTTATTCATTTAATCCAATATCAGTCAAAACTCCTTATTCATTCAATCTAATATCAGTCAAAACTCCTTATTCATTCAATCCAATATCAGTCAAAACTCCTTATTCATTCAATCCAATATCAGTCAAAACTCCTTATTCATTCAACCCAGTATCAGTCAAAACTCCTTATTCATTCAATCCAATATCAGTCAAAACTCCTTATTCATTCAATCCAATATCAATCAAAACTCCTTATTCATTCAATCCAATATCAGTCAAAACTCCTTATTCATTCAATCCAATATCAGTAAAAACTCCTTATTCATTCAATCCAAGTCAAAACACTATTTTATGTGTTGTAGAATGCCAGTTTGATTTACACTGGGCTAAACATTGGCTGAGATTTTCTTAGATTACTTAGATTAGTTTAATTGTTTTCTAATGATCTGACCTAATAATGATGATTTAAGCAGAATAAAATGACTTACCATTTTTCACAAACTTGACTGCATTCTTCAGCTTTCTGACATTGACGTCCATCTGTCCAACTACCTTCCTGTACCTCCCACAGTCACACGTTGTTCCTGTCAGACATCCATGTCGTCAGCTACAGCAGTGTCTTACAATAAACACCATTATCTTTCAGGAAAACCCTTTTTGCAACTCTAGCCCACTCCAGAATGTGAAGACACAACATTGTGTGCTAGTGACTTGGAGGTGCTACAGTTGAGGGAAAAAAAGTATTTGATCCCCTGCTGATTTTGTACGTTTGCCCACTGACAAAGAAATGATCAGTCTATAATTTTAATGGTAGGATTATTTGAAAAGTGAGAGACAGAATAACAACAACAAAAAATCCAGAAAAATGCATGTCAAAAATGTTATAAATTGATTTGCATTTTAATGAGGGAAATAAGTATTTAACCCCCTCTCAATCAGAAAGATTTCTGGCTCCCAGGTGTCTTTTATACAGGTAACGAGCTGATATTAGGAGCACACTCTTAAAGGGAGTGTTCCTAATCTCAGCTTGTTACCTGTATAAAATACACCTGTCCACAGAAGCAATCAATCAATCAGATTCCAAACTCTACACCATGGCCAAGACCAAAGAGCTCTCCAAGGATGTCAGGGACAAGATTGTAGACCTACACAAGGCTGGAATGGGCTACAAGACCATCGCCAAGCAGCTTGGTGAGAAGGTGACAACAGTTGGTGCGATTATTCGCAAATGGAAGAAACACAAAAGACCTGTCAATCTCCCTCGGCCTGGGGCTCCATGCAAGATCTCACCTCGTGGAGTTGCAATGATCATGAGAACGGTGAGGAATCAGCCCAGAACTACACGGGAGGATCTTGTCAATGATCTCAAGGCAGCTGGGACCATAGTCACCAAGAAAACAATTGGTAACACACTACGCCGTGAAGGACTGAAATCCTGCAGCGCCCGCAAGGTCCCCCTGCTCAAGAAAGCACATATACAGTGGGGAAAAAAAGTATTTAGTCAGCCACCAATTGTGCAAGTTCTCCCACTTAAAAAGATGAGAGAGGCCTGTAATTTTCATCATAGGTACACGTCAACTATGACAGACAAATTGAGAAAAAAAAATCCAGAAAATCCCATTGTAGGATTTTTAATGAATTTATTTGCAAATTATGGTGGAAAATAAGTATTTGGTCACCTACAAACAAGCAAGATTTCTGGCTCTCACAGACCTGTAACTTCTTCTTTAAGAGGCTCCTCTGTCCTCCACTCGTTACCTGTATTAATGGCACCTGTTTGAACTTGTTATCAGTATAAAAGACACCTGTCCACAACCTCAAACAGTCACACTCCAAACTCCACAATGGCCAAGACCAAAGAGCTGTCAAAGGACACCAAAAACAAAATTGTAGACCTGCACCAGGCTGGGAAGACTGAATCTGCAATAGGTAAGCAGCTTGGTTTGAATAAATCAACTGTGGGAGCAATTATTAGGAAATGGAAGACATACAAGACCACTGATAATCTCCCTCGATCTGGGGCTCCACGCAAGATCTCACCCCGTGGGGTCAAAATGATCACAAGAACGGTGAGCAAAAATCCCAGAACCACACGGGGGGACCTAGTGAATGACCTGCAGAGAGCTGGGACCAAAGTAACAAAGCCTACCATCAGTAACACACTACGCCGCCAGGGACTCAAATCCTGCAGTGAGAGACGTGTCCCCCTGCTTAAGCCAGTACATGTCCAGGCCCGTCTGAAGTGCATTTGGATGATCCAGAAGAGGATTGGGAGAATGTCATATGGTCAGATGAAACCAAAATATAAATTTTTGGTAAAAACTCAACTCGTCATGTTTGGAGGACAAAGAATGCTGAGTTGCATCCAAAGAACACCATACCTACTGTGAAGCATGGGGTTGGAAACATCATGCTTTGGGGCTGTTTTTCTGCAAAGGGACCAGGACGACTGATCCGTGTAAAGGAAAGAATGAATGGGGCCATGTATCGTGAGATTTTGAGTGAAACCCTCCTTCCATCAGCAAGGTAATTGAAGATGAAACGTGGCTGGGTCTTTCAGCATGACAATGATCCCAAACACACAGCCCGGGCAACGAAGGAGTGGCTTCGTAAGAAGCATTTCAAGGTCCTGGAGTGGCCTAGCCAGTCTCCAGATCTCAACCCCATAGAAAATCTTTGGAGGGAGTTGAAAGTCTGTGTTGCCCAGCGACAGCCCCAAAACATCACTTCTCCAGAGGAGATCTGCATGGAGGAATGGGCCAGAATACCAGCAACAGTGTGTGAAAACCTTGTGAAGACTTACAGAAAACGTTTGACCTGTGTCATTGCCAACAAAGGGTATATAACAAAGTATTGAGAAACTTTTGTTATTGACCAAATACTTATTTTCCACAATCATATGCCAATAAATTCATTAAAAATCCTACAATGTGATTTTCTGGATTTTTTTTTCTCATTTTGTCTGTCATAGTTGACGTGTACCTATGATGAAAATTACAGGCCTCTCTCATCTTTTTAAGTGGGAGAACTTGCACAATTGGTGGCTGACTAAATACTTTTTTTCCCCACTGTATAGGCCCGTCTGAAGTTTGCCAATGAACATCTGAATGATTCAGAGGAGAACTGGGTGAAAGTGTTGTGGTCAGATGAGACCAAAATCGAGCTCTTTGGCATCAACTCAACTCACCGTGTTTGGAGGAGGAGGAATGCTGCCTATGACCCCAAGAACACCATCCCCACCGTCAAACATGGAGGTGGAAACATTATGCTTTGGGGGTGTTTTTCTGCTAAGGGGACAGGACAACTTCACTGCATCAAAGGGACGATGGACAGGGCCGTCAAATCTTGGGTGAGAACCTCCTTCCCTCAGCCAGGGCATTGAAAATGGGTTGTGGATGGGTATTCCAGCATGACAATGACCCAAAACACACGGCCAAGGAAACAAAGGAGTGGCTCAAGAAGAAGCACATTAAGGTCCTGGAGTGGCCTAGCCAGTCTCCAGACCTTAATCCCAAAATCTGTGGAGGGAGCTGAAGGTTCGAGTTGCCAAGCGTCAGCCTCAAAACCTTAATGACTTGGAGAAGATCTGCAAAGAGGAGTGGGACAAAATCCCTCCTGAGATGTGTGAAAACCTGGTGGCCAACTACAAGAAACGTCTGACCTCTGTGATTGCCAACAAGGGTTTTGCCACCAAGTACTAAGTCATGTTTTGCAGAGGTGTCAAATACTTATTTCCCACATTAAAATGCAAAAAAATGTATAACATCTTTGACATGCGTTTTTCTGGATTTTTTTGTTGTTATTCTGTCTCTCACTGTTCAAATAAACCTACCATTAAAAATTATAGACTGATCATGTCTTTGTCAGTTGGCAAACGTACAAAATCAGCAGGGGATCAAATACTTTTTTCCCTCACTGTATCTCCATTGGTTTGGAAACATACAAGAACAAAGAATGAGGCTGAATAATAAATGAGTCCACCTGCTTTCCCTTTCAGTCCAGAGGGTCCTTCAACTCCTGCTTCTCCCGCGTCCCCTGGAATTAACATGTACAGTTAGACTACATATAAGGGACAGCAGCATAGCCCAGTAAGGATAGCGACCAGCCATATCCATTTTGCTGAGTAGATCTCTGCTTCAGGATGAAAACTATTTGCAGTGGAAAGATATCACCACTAGACAGCAGCACGCCACAGTGCTTCACTTCACAGAGAAGAGATGTGGCTGGAGGGTGATTCGACCTCTCCCCAGAGTAGGTGTTTTACCCCCTAACTGACAGGAGGGTGATTCGACCTCTCCCTACAGTAGTTGTTTACCTCCTAACTGACAGGAGGGTGATTCAACCTCTCCCTAAACAGGTGTTTTACCTCCTCCCTAAAGCAGGTGTTTTACCCCCTAACTGACAGGAGGGTGATTCAACCTGTCCCTAAAGCAGGTGTTTTACCCCCTAACTGACAGTTGACAATTTAGGGGAAGTAATTATATTCCAAACACAACACAGGTTGTTTTTATGACAGTTAGACTACCGGGGTACAATAATGTGTAGGTGTCACATTATTATGTCACAAAATAGCTCAAGGATCTGATATTTTCACTGAGATTGATTTGAAGGCTTTTCTCTTGACTTGATACAGCTTCATGAAAATGACCTATGTTTTTCCACAGTTACCTGGAAAAATGGTACTAGCTTAATGTCTTCATATCACCCATTGTGGACATGTTTAGGTTATTGTTAGGCCCATATCTTAACCTACTAAGTTGACAATGTCATTATTGCGCCTGCTAAGTGAGGTCTGGATTTCTGTAAGGCTCTCAAAGCATTACAGGCAGGATTGACCAGACTCTTGATTAAGCCTTGAAGTATACGTACATGTCGCTTCAGAGAGGGGGGTAGCATCCCAAATGGCACCCTATTCCCTATATAGTGCACTACTTTTGACTACTTTTGGTCAAAAGTAGTGCACTATATAGGGAATAGATGCCATTTGGGACGTACACAGGGTTTTCACATGTTCCTTACGCCTAAATATGAGTCCCTTCCAAGCTAATCACATTGATGACCATGGAAAATAATTCTCTACCAGCAGACCTGAGTTCAAATACTATTTGACGTTATTTGAAGATTACGATCACTTTATTGGTCAATTGCACACAAGGTCCAACGGAACTTTGACTTCTGCTTTTAACCCCTCAGAAAGACACACATACACACACATAAACAGGTTTTATGGAGAGGTGGGGGGGGGGGGGGGGGGGGGGGGGGGGGGGGGGGGGGGTAGTAATGGCATCTATGTAAATACTTTAGCTGTGCTTGATTGAGCTTGCCTGGCTAAATAGACAGATAGAATAGTCCCAACCCTGTAACCCCTGTCCATCTGATACTCCAGGCAGGCCACTCAGGTTGTTAATGCATCTACTAGACAGACCTGGGTTCAAACACTATTTGAAATCTTTCAATACTTTGCTCAAAGTATTTTGCCCAGGTAGTTTGGGTCTGGCAGTGTGTCTCTGTGGCTACACCCAAAATGGCACCCTATTCCCTGTATAGTGCACTACTTTTGACCATTCCTATGGTCAAAAGTAGTGCACTATAACAGGATCATTCCTATGGTCAAAAGTAGTGCACTATAACGGGAATAGGGTGGCATTAGAGACACAGCCTCTGTATCATTGGCCTGAGATGCAGCCAGAACAGTTTTCTTCTCCATGAGCAGAATATTTCTCAGTCAGTCTGATTACTAAATGATTACCTTTGTCTCCAGCAGGACCCATCTTCCCCGTCCGGCCCACCTCTCCTTTACCTCCGAGTTCCCCTGTCAAACCTGAGAGAGGGGAAGGAGAAGACTGGTGAACTGCCCACCCAAAGAAAACTGTAAATAGGTAGGGAGTTTTTTATCTGTTTCTTTATTGCTGTTTTCTTATGATTTTGTGTGGCAGTTAGGTTTACTTGTTGGAATTTAAAGAGAGTAACTAAAGGCCAAAGAGAGAGAGAGAAAGAGAGAGAGAGAGAGAGAGCGAGGGGAGCGAGAGGGTGAGAGAGAGGGTGAGAGAGAGAGAGGGTGAGAGGGAGAGAGAGGGGGAGAGGGGGGTAGAAGGAGAGGGGGTTCGTGATGCTAGTATAGTGATAGGATAGGGTGGTTCTTTAGGGGGGGAGCGTTGAGGTCTCTTGTTGCTTTCCGCTTTCTTGTTCGTTTTCTCTTTCTCTCTCCCTTTCTCCTTTTCCTTTCTCTCTGTTTCTCTCTCGTGCTTTCTTGCTTTGCTTTTGTTTTTCTCTCTCTATCTTCTTTGGGTTGTTTCTCTCCCTCTGTCTGCTCTCTTGTCTGATCTCTCGCTCTTTTTCTCTGCGTGCTTTGCTTTCAGTGACATGGATTTGTGGAATTTGCTTTTCAATGCTGTAGCGTTACTTCTCCAGGACCCACACTCAAGCTTTCCATCTGACAATATTCATCTCAATGATTGTTTTAAATAATCTTACGACAGGACCTTCCAAAGCTGTACTTTACACATGACCATTCTACTAGAATATTGCTTTTATCACATACTACTTAAGTGTCTTTTTTGGTATCGTACTTTACTTTAACAATTTTATTTTTGAGACTTTTACTTTAATGCCTCATTCCTAAGAAAAATGTCTTTACCCATACTTCCCGACTCCAAATCTCTTTACATTTTGAGTGCTCCTGTAAGTCGCTCTGGAGAAGACTAAAACTTGAATGACTAAAAATGTAAATGTAGATGAGTGCTTAGCAGGACAGGAAAATGGTCAAATTCACGCACTTATCAAGAGAACATCCCTGGTCATCTACTGCCTCTGATCTGGCAGACTCAATAAACACAAATGCTTTGTTTGTAAATGATGTCTGAGTGTTGGAGTGTGCCCCTGGCTATTTATAAATAAATAAAAAACAAGAAAATGATGCCGTCTGGTTTGCTTAATATAAGGATTTTAAAATTATTTATACTTTTACTTTTGATACTTAAGTACATTTTATCAATTACATTTACTTTTGAAAAGCAAATACTTTTAGACTTTTACTCATGTAGGATTTTACTGGGTGACTTTCACTTTTACTTGAGTCATTTTCTATTAACATATCTTTACTTTTACTCAAGTATGACGATTGGGTACTTTTTCCACCACTGATTAAGTCAGCCCTCCACACCTCTCTGATTCAGAGGTGTTGGGTTAAATGCAGAAGACACATTTCAGTTGAATGCATTCAGTTGTACAACTGACTGGGTATCCCCCTTTCCTTTCCCATATGTTCAGCTCAAGTATCTCAGTCCTCATTTTTCAGCACAATAATTTCAGCATAATGTTCTGATAAGAAAAGATCCTAACACACGGAAACATTTCTCAACATGGAACATTCTAGCAGGTGGGACATTTAGAAGGATAGACTGAACGTGAAGAGATTGTTTGATTTAGTCAGGAACAGTCATTATGAAACAGGTTGTTTGGATCCTGGATGCTGATTGGACGGGCAGCATTCCAAACCGTGTTGTATTTGCCGTCACAGACACACCCATGCCTGATAACACTTCCATCTGAAAAGTATCACTGCGCCTCCATAAAACTATCATGTTCATGTTGCTGTATTTATCCCAACTCGCACATTATTTCCCCTTGCTTCCAGCCTAGCATTTAGTTTGGTACAGCGGGGGTTAATATAAGCCTCACTGTCTATCTCGGAAACAATGTTTAACTTTTGAATTTAGATCTCTGTAGTACCATACAGTGAACGGTGCCCAGACGAGACTAGACAACTTTTTCTGAGCCAGTCGAAATCACCCATCAAAGTCATTATCATGGACATATCCAAGTAAATGCAAATAGAAAAAAAAGCTCAAACAAACGAAAATGCAGCAAGTGTACTGTCATTCCAGGTTCAATGTTTGACGTGACTGAGTTAGCTGAAGTCGGCTAACTAGCTAGCAAGTGACAATAACGTTATCTATACAGCCTGCATAGCAACCATTTTATTTACAACGGATGACCACACCTTTTGCATAGCAACTATGCAAAAATAATTTACAACTCGGTCACGTCTGTAGCAACATGACCAAAATAACTAACAACCAGATTTTTGTCTTCTGGTGGAATAATTAAATTGTATGTATTGAGTTATCAAAATAATGTTTTAATGAAAATATGTAACCATTGTTATTTTAAATATGTTGGTAAGAGTTTTATAAAAGCAACGAGGCACACAAGGCAGTGCCTTATCACGTCAGGCCGAACAATGTCATTTACCTGTGACTGTAGTCATAATACAGCAGTGCCTCTTGTGCCTTACATTTACATTTTAGTCATTTAGCAGACGCTTTTATCCAGAGCGACTTACAGTTAGTGAGTGCATACATTTTTCATACTGGCCTTATTGCTTAATTATCCACTACCTATACAGGCCTGGGCCCAGATTCACAAAACACTTCTTACGAAAAAAACGTAAGAAGTATCTTAAGAAAAAAAATAAGAAGTTCATAGATAGTTCGTACGTGCAATTCCTCAACAATATCTTAAGATGTATTGATTTTCCTACTAACTTCTCAAATATCTTCTTACAAATCTTCTTAAGATGCTTGCTAGATTTAGCTAGCTATCTAGCTGGCAATGGCAATCATGTTAGCAAATTTACTACTGAGATTACTGTTCTAAAACATGTTCTTGGGTTTAAAATAATCAATACTGAAACTTTCAGATGAAGTTTGTGAGTGAATTAAACATGTTCAATTGCTTTCATGCGCTTTTTCTCTCAATGCCATTAGTTTAAGACAAGGGTTTAGCGATCTTGGAATTAAGAACATTTCCAATAACTTTATTTGTCAAAAATCTAATTTCTTCTTAACTTGTTGCTTAAGGAGAAATGTAAGAAATTGCACAAGAACATTTCCAAGAACCTTTTTGAGGAATAGCAACTTCGCTTAACTTTCTCCTTAAGTCTATATAGAGTTAAGGGAAAACATGGCAGTTAAGAAGAAATGTCTTCTTAAGAAGGTTTTGTGAATCTGGGCCCTGATTATTGACATTTTCCCACTGATACAGTTGAAGTCGGAAGTTTACATACACTTAGGTTGGAGTCATTAAAACTCGTTTTTCAACCAATCCACAAATTTCTTGTTTACAAACTATAGTTTTGGCAAGTCGGTTAGGACATCTACTTTGTGCATGACACAAGTAATTTTTCCAACAATTGTTTACAGACAGATTATTTCATTTATAATTCACTGTATCACAATTCCAGTGGCTCAGAAATTTACATACACTAAGTTGACTGTGCCTTTAAACAGCTTGGAAAATTCCAGAAAATTGGCTTTAGAAGCTTCTGATAGGCTAATTGACATCATTTGAGTCAATTGGAGGTGTACCTGTGGATGTATTTCAAGGCCTACCTTCAAACTCAGTGCCTCTTTGCTTGACATCATGGGAAAATCAAAAGAAATCAGCCAAGACCTCAGCAAAAAAAATTGTAGACCTCCACAAGTCTGGTTCATCCTTGGGAGCAATTTCTAAACGCCTGAAGGTACCACGTTCATCTGTACAAACAATAGTACGCAAGTATAAACACCATGGGACCACGCGGCTGTCATACCGCTCAGGATGGAGACGCGTTCTGTCTCCTAGAGATGAACGTACTTTGGTGCGAAAAGTGCAAATCAGTCCCATAACAACAGCAAAGGACCTTGTGAAGATGCTGGAGGAAACCGGTACAAAAGTATAGTACAATCCTATAGAAAATGTGTGGGCAGAACTGAAAAATTGTGTGCGAGCAAGGAGGCCTACAAACCTGACTCAGTTACACCAGCTCTGTCAGGAGGAATGGGCCAAAATTCACCCAATTTATTGTGGGAAGCTTGTGGAAGGCTTCCCGAAACATTTGACCCAAGTTAAACAATTTAAAGGCAATGCTACCAAATACTAATTGAGTGTGTGAAGAAAAAAAGCTGAAATAAATCATTCTCTCTACTATTATTCTGACATTTCACATTCTTAAAATAAAGTGGTGATCCTAACTGACCCAAGACAGGGAATTTTTACTAGGATTAAATGTCAGGAATTGTGAAAAACTGAGTTTAAATGTATTTGGCTAAGGTGTATGTAAACTCCCGACTTCAACTGTATTGCCAGTTCAACCGTCAATCAGAAGTTCAAGATAACATTCTCTCATTTCACTACCCCCTTTTCAAAGGCCAACCGTTCTAAGTTGTCTAACGACTCCCCTCCTCCCAGGTGTTGAAGGCACCAGCAGCTGATGGTAAGGAAAGGTTCTGAGTAAACTTTAGTTTAGTGGCCCAAATGACACCCTATTCCCAATACCTACATAGTGCACTACTTTTGACCAGAGCTCTATGTGCCCTGGTAAAAAGTAGTGCACTATTTAGGGAATATGGTGCCATTTGGGATGCAGATTAGTTTAGTGGCCCTTTCATGCAAAGTAAAGTTGTGCTATATACACAAATTAAAGGCAATTACCCTTTGGCTTCAGTCAATCTTAGCTTAGTCAACTACAGTAGTATGTAGGGAATGTTTTCAGAGGCCAGCCAGCCAGAAGTCAATTTAGCGCCTGGCCCTGCCTCTCTGCCTCCTAGTTCTACCACCCGCAGAACACATATGGTGCTCCCGCCACCCGCCATCCTGTAGAAGCGTTTAACACGTCTGCTTCCCTCTGCTCTGATGTGACTTCCTTCAAGGAAAAGCAGAGAGTCAGGCTCACAGAGGCTGTCGGAGCTGGCCTAGGCTACTCCGCTGTAACTCAGCTCACTGCTGGGGCCAATTCGACCTCACTCACTCACATCAGAGTCAGACACAGTGTTGCTTCTGAATCTAGAAAGACTGGGGGGATCGCTAGAGTCTGTAATACTTCTGAATATAGAAAGACTGGGGGGATCGCTAGAGTCTGTAATACTTCTGAATATAGAAAGACTGGGGGGATCGCTAGAGTCTGTTCTGCTTCTGAATCTAGAGTATTGAGGGCTTATTTAGGCATTTACCTTCAACTGAGGGGGTTTACATACCTTAATCTCTGGGGAGTATACAACACGCCTCAGCTCACTTAGATGTTAACAAACTCTGTTTAGATACTCTGTTTAAAACCATCAGTAAACTCTGTTTAGATACTCTGTTTAAAACCATCAGGAAACTCTGTTCAGATACTCTGTATAAAAGCGTCAGGAAACTCTGTTTAGATACTCTGTTTAAAACCATCAGCAAACTCTGTTCAGATACTCTGTTTAAAAGCGTCAGGAAACTCTGTTTAGTTTAGTTTACAAATCACACATTTAAAAAATCAAGACAACAATTTAAAAAGGAGCAGTAGAACATGCCGGAGAGTTTAATCAACTCCATGGCTTTTATACCACTTCCTTTTAATCTCTCAATGATGTATTCTAATATTAAACCAATAAAAAATATATAAGCAGGAACCTGGTAGTCCTGGTGGGCCGGTCTTCCCCAGCCGTCCCTGATCTCCCTGATCTCCCCCTTCACCCAGGTCTCCTGTTAGGAGAGGAAGAAAAGTCGAGAGGAGATTCAGCAACTCTTGGGAGGCCAATGGAAGTAAATAAAAAAAGCTTCTTTATTGTTGCAAATAAAACCAACGTGTTTCGGCTTTTGGCCTTCAGGGTTTTTACATAAATAAAAAAAACAATGAGGCTTTTATGCATTTCAAAATGGCCTCCCATGAACTCAGAGGACCAATCACAATGAGAGGAAGATACAGCATATCATCCATTTTATGACAACGTAATAAATATATCAAGCAAAACTACAGAGAGAAGAGACTAGAAATAGAGACAGAGGTTTGCTCAGTGGGGCTGAAAGGGTCTCATTTGAACGGAGAAAAACTGACTTGGCTTTTCTGTGCACGGGTTTACAGGTTCACTGACTTCAAGACAAACCGTAGCCATTGTTTCTCAGTCCATATAGACAGTACTGTTTGGGGATGGGTCTTAACTAAATAAACTCCTCTATTGTGGAGCAGCTGTTTCAATACAGACAGTCAGTCAGCCAGACAGTCATAGTGGCCACTTCTCTGTGGCTAGCAATAACACGCAAAACAAAGTGAAACATTGTATAAAAATTACTCATGACATATATATACTCCTCCTAAAATCCCCAAATAAGTGTTACCTCTACTGTCTAAGGATGTTAGTTCTAGTCTAAACTACATAGCCAACACCATGTTAATACTGCACAACACTACAACAGTAGCAGCCTCTCAAACCAACCAATAAAGGACATGGAAGTGACTGTACTATTTCAACACATGGTTATCGTTTGCTACCAGCAGGGTCTCTGTAGGAAACAAGCTACTGTTGTAGTAAAACAACAAAACAGCAACCGAGGCATGGTATGTCCATTAACCACCTGGTTTAACATGGTGCAGACAGATCATGCTATCTCCATTAACCACCTGGTTTAACATGGTGCAGACAGATCATGCTATCTCCATTAACCACCTGGTTTAACATGCTGCAGATAGATCATGCTATCTCCATTAACCACCTGGTTTAACATGGTGCAGACAGATCATGCTATCTCCATTAACCACCTGGTTTAACATGGTGCAGACAGATCATGCAATCTCCATTAGCCACCTGGTTTAATATGGTGCAGACAGATCATGCTATCTCCATTAACCACCTGGTTTAACATGGTGCAGACATATCATGCTATCTCCCTTAACCACCTGGTTTAACATGCTGCAGATAGATCATGCTATCTCCATTAACCACCTGGTTTAACATGCTGCAGACAGATCATGCTATCTCCATTAACCACCTGGTTTAACATGGTGCAGACAGATCATACTATCTCCATTAACCACCTGGTTTAACATGGTGCAGACAGATCATACTATCTCCATTAACCACCTGGTTTAACATGGTGCATACAGATCATGCTATCTCCATTAACCACCTGGTTTAACATGGTGCAGACAGATCATGCTATCTCCATTAACCACCTGGTTTAACATGGTGCAGACCGATCATGCTATCTCCATAAACCACCTGGTTTAACATGGTGCAGACATATCATGCTATCTCCATTAACCACCTGGTTTAACATGGTGCAGACAGATCACGCTATCTCCATTAACCACCTGGTTTAACATGGTGCAGACAGATCACGCTATCTCCATTAACCACCTGGTTTAACATGCTGCAGACATATCATGCTATCTCCATTAACCACCTAGTTTAACATGGTGCAGACCGATCATGCTATCTCCATAAACCACCTGGTTTAACATGGTGCAGACATATCATGCTATCTCCATTAACCACCTGGTTTAACATGGTGCAGACAGATCACGCTATCTCCATTAACCACCTGGTTTAACATGGTGCAGACAGATCACGCTATCTCCATTAACCACCTGGTTTAACATGCTGCAGACATATCATGCTATCTCAATTAACCACCTGGTTTAACATGGTGCAGACAGATCATGCTATCTCCATTAACCACCTGGTTTAACATGGTGCAGACAGATCACGCTATCTCCATTAACCACCTGGTTTAACATGCTGCAGACAGTCTTTAGATCATCATTTGTTTGCTTTACATTTTAAATGATTTGAATTTGCATAACATATCTATTAAATGGCAATATCTATGATGAGGTTTACAAATGTTTTCGGCCCTAACTATTCCCAAGCGCTACCATGAAATCAGAAAGATTGCTGTACTGCAGAGAAACACTAGATAGTTCTAAAAATCCTTTAGAAAGCCCGAAGATGGAAGATTCAAAACATCACCTTTAGATCCCGGTAGAATAGTGTTGGAACAGAATTCGACAGCATTGAGAGAATTGAAGATGGTTGAAAGAACAGAGAGCAGCAGTAGCCCCTTGCTGAAGTCGTTGGGATGTTCCATGTTCTCAGTATGAGGATTCAGTACAGCACTAGGACCATACAGTATATTTAGAGGCAGAGCTGTGTTCTATCTTTGTTTACCAAACCTTATCACTTCACTGTCATGCTGTCAGACAACATTATCCAGGGTAGGTAATTAGCCAGAGTAGGTAGGGTGACACATTCTTTCTCACTCTCTTGTATCTGGAATTTGAGTGAACAAATGAGTGACTCTTTGCAATGTTGTATTTGCCCCAGGATGATGTTATATCAATGTATTGTCACTACTGTTTTTGATTGTGTCTTAGTTTATGTAGTGTCCATTAGGAGTGTCTCTGACAGTATGTAGTTTATGTAGTGTCCATTAGGAGTGTCTCTGACAGTATGTAGTTGATGTAGTGTCCATTAGGAGTGTCTCTGACATTATGTAGTTGATGTAGTGTCCATTAGGAGTGTCTCTGACATTATGTAGTTTATGTAGTGTCCATTAGGAGTGTCTCTGACAGTATGTAGTTTATGTAGTGTCCATTGGGAGTGTCTCTGACAGTATGTAGTTTATGTAGTGTCCATTAAGAGTGTCTCTGACAGTATGTAGTTTATGTAGTGTCCATTAGGAGTGTCTCTGACAGTATGTAGTTTATGTAGTGTCCATTAGGAGTGTCTCTGACAGTATGATGTTGTGAGTCCTGGTAAAGGGGAAGCAGGAACATCTTTAAGTTGAATGAGAGAATTGTTAGTGAACTGAAAAAATTATGTTCCATAAAACATCTGATCTACATGCCAGTTCAATCTGCAGGTCGTCATTAGGTCTTGTCATACAGATGGAAAGGTTACAATGTTCTAGTCACTATAGTATCAACACTGCTTGAATCAGAGGGTGTGAAGGTCTTATCAATACCAAGGGAATACCTCCTCTCCTCTCCTCTCCTCTCCTCTCCTCTCCTCTCCTCTCCTCTCCTCTCCTCTCCTCTCCTCTCCTCTCCTCTCCTCTCCTCTCCTCTCCTCTCCTCTCCTCTCCACTCCTCTCCTCTCCTCTCCACTCCTCTCCTCTCCTCTCCTCTCCTCTCCTCTCCTCTCCTCTCCGCTCCTCTCCTCTCCTCTCCTCTCCTCTCCTCTCCTCTCCTCTCCACTCCTCCTCCTCTCCTCTCCTCTCCTCTCCTCTCCTCTCCTCTCCTCTCCTCTCCTCTCCTCTCCCCTCCCCTCCCCTCCCCTCCTCTCTCCTCCTCTCCACCCTGTTGACCACAGAGACAGACACGGCAGTTGGAGTGGGAGGAGGAGTGGTGTGTCTGTGTGTTCCAGCAGCTCATCCCTGCAGGCGTGACCAACGACAAGGCTGCGTCCCAAGATGCACCCTATTCCATTTATAGTGCACTGCTTTTGACCAGGCCACATAGGGAGTAGGATGCTATTTGAGACGGTGCCATGATCAACCCCAAACCCCTGTTTCCCCCGAGACATTCTCCCATAATTGCGTCCACCTCGTTTGACACCATGTGATGAAAAATGCATTGATTACAGCGGGGTTTGGAGGAGTGGAATTCCCTCTGAGAGGAAAAGCTGTCTGCACAGAACCACATGTCTTGGCTAGAGCCGTTTCCTCATAAATGTGTGTTTCCTCCAGTACTTTTAGCTCTTCATCAATATGAAATGAGTTGTGGAGTTGCCCCTCCTAATCTTTAGAGGGATGGAGAGAGGACAGGGGCCTCTAATCTTTAGAGGGGGGAGAGAGGACAGGGGCCTCTAATCTTTAGAGGGGGGAGAGAGGACAGGGTCTCTAATCTTTAGAGGGGGGAGAGAGGACAGGGGCCTCTAATCTTTAGAGGGGGGAGAGAGGACAGGGGCCTCTAATCTTTAGAGGGGGGAGAGAGGACAGGGGCCTCTAATCTTTAGATGGGGGAGAGAGGACAGGGGCCTCTAATCTTTAAAGGGGGGGAGAGAGGACAGGGGCCTCTAATCTTTAAAGGGGGGGAGGGAGGACAGGGGCCTCTAATCTTTAAAGGGGGGGAGGGAGGACAGGGGCCTCTAATCTTTAAAGGGGAGGAGGGAGGCCAGGGTGCTCTAATCTTTAAAGGGGAGGAGGGACGCCAGGGATCTCAAACTTTAAAGGGGAGGAGGGAGCATATTTTCTTTCCAAGAGCCTCTAATCTGTAAAAAGACATGATGTAGAAAGACACTATTGGAGCAGGGAACACAAGCATTTCACTACACCCGCAATAACATCTGCTAAATATGTGTATGTAACCAATAATATTTGATTTGATTTGATTAAACCCTAATCAGGGTATGGCACTCTTGTTCTCTCTTCAGTATTCCTTTTTCTCTCTCACTCCCTCTCTCCCTCACTTCCTGTCTCCCTCTCTCCCTCTCTCACTTCCTCTCTCTCTCCCTCTCTCTGTCACGATCGTCGTTAATAGAGGAGGACCAAGGCGCAGCGTGTTGAGCGAACATACTTTAATTAGTTAAAGTGCACACACGATACAAAACAACAAAACGACTCGTAACGTCCTAGGTAACAAAGACCAACTGGAACAAAAACCCACAAACACCAAGGGAAAACAGACAGTTTAAATATGGCTCCCAATCAGAGACAACCAGCCACAGCTGACACTCGTTGCCTCTGATTGGGAGTCACTCAGGCCAACAAAGAAACAGAAGAACTAGAACCCCCAACATAGAAATATAACACAAAGAATGAACACACCCTGGCTCAACATATAGAGTCCCAGAGCCAGGGTGTGACAGTACCCCCCCCCTAAAGGCGGACTGCGACCGCGCCTCCACTAGAACAAAACAGGGGAGGGCTGGGTGGGCATACCTCCTCGGCGGCGGTTCTGGCTCCGGCCTTGCCCACCACCCTCCAATAAACCCCCCATAGCGCCCCTGGTCCGGTCTGGCCCCGCTGGCTGGAGCTGAACTGGACGTAGCAGGAGCGGTTAGCTTCAGCTCCGTAGTGGAGCCGTTGACCGGTACCTTACCAGGCACCGGTGACCCAGGCACGGGTTGTGTTGGACTGACGACGCGCACCCCTGGCTTGGTGCGTGGAGCCGGAACGGGCCGAACCGGGCTGACGACTTGCACCCCTGGCTTGGTGCGTGGAGTAGGAACGGGCCGAACCGGGCTGACGACTCGCACCCCTGGCTTGGTGCGAGTGGCAGGAACAGGCCGGGCCGGGCTGGCGACGCGCACCGTAGACGTGGTGCGAGTGGCAGGAACCAGCCGGGCCGGGCTGACGATGCGCACCCCTGGCTTGGTGCGTGGAGTAGGAACAGGCCGGACCGGGCTGGCGACGCACACCGTAGGCTTGGTGCGAGGAGCAGGGACAGGCCGGACCGGGCTGGCGACGCACACCGTAGGCTTGGTGCGAGGAGCAGGGACAGGCCGGACCGGGCTGGCGACGCACACCGTAGGCTTGGTGCGTGGAGCAGGGACAGGCCGGACCGGGCTGGCGACGCACACCGTAGGCTTGGTGCGTGGAGCAGGGACAGGCCGGACCGGGCTGGCGACGCACACCGTAGGCTTGGTGCGTGGAGCAGGGACAGGCCGGACCGGGCTGGCGACGCACACCGTAGGCTTGGTGCGTGGAGCAGGGCCAGGCCGGACCGGGCTGGCGACGCACACCGTAGGCTTGGTGCGAGAGGCAGGAACAGGCCGGACCGGGCTGGCGACGCGCACCGTCCATTTGGTGCGAGGGGCCGTAACAGGCCGGACCGTACTGGGGACACACACCACTGGCTCTACCCCGGGATCTGGAACGGGCCGGACCGGACTGGTAACACATCCCAGTACCTCTCGCCGTGCCTCTAAACCTTCCTTTACCAGTGACCCCCGTAACCTGGTGGCCTTTTGAATACGCCCCTTTTCTGCCTCCGTCAGCCCCGTCGTCCATGCCCTGTGCCCCCCCCTAAAAATTATTTGGGGTTGCCTCTCGACCGTCCGACGACGACCCTGATCACGCCGTTGCTCCTCTCTCCGTCGCCTCTCTACAGTCTCACTCCATGGCCGGCGATCCATCCCGGCCAGGATTTCCTCCCAGGTCCAGGACCCCTGTCCGTCCAAAATCTGCTCCCACGTCCAGGCTGCCTGCTCCTGGACACGCTGCTTGGTCCTGGTATGGTGGGTTTTTCTGTCACGATCGTCGTTAATAGAGGAGGACCAAGGCGCAGCGTGTTGAGCGAACATACTTTAATTAGTTAAAGTGCACACACGATACAAAACAACAAAACGACTCGTAACGTCCTAGGTAACAAAGACCAACTGGAACAAAAACCCACAAACACCAAGGGAAAACAGACAGTTTAAATATGGCTCCCAATCAGAGACAACCAGCCACAGCTGACACTCGTTGCCTCTGATTGGGAGTCACTCAGGCCAACAAAGAAACAGAAGAACTAGAACCCCCAACATAGAAATATAACACAAAGAATGAACACACCCTGGCTCAACATATAGAGTCCCAGAGCCAGGGTGTGACACTCTCTCTCCCTCACTTCCTCTCTCCCGCTCTCCCTCACTTCTTCCCTCCCTCCCTCCCTCCCTCCCTCTCTTTCTTTCTGCTCTATTTCTCAATTCAATTCAATTCAATTCAAAGGGCCTATATTGGCATACTGTATATGGGCTCTCTATCTGTCTCGCTCTCTTAAAATATTTCCTCTCCGGGGCCTCTTCCCTCTGCACCCATCATCAGTCCTGCTACATCAGTATAAATAGTACTGACAGACTTATTACCATGAGGGCTAATTGTTGACATGGGGTTCAATGGAAGCCCTTTCATTTAGTGTGATTCACACTCCTGGACCGAGGATGTTTACGTTGTTGGTGAGCAACGCTGTGCCACTGATTATTTACAGGAACAATGACTGACCGACTGCATTGCAAGGTTGGTTTTCTTTAATGACTGTTGTGGGAAATCCATGCAACTGATCTCTCAGCTATTGGAGAGCTGGGAGCCATGCAACATGATGATGACCACATGCACACTTTCACTGGTTTTATGATTTCACTTTCAGAGAAATGTTTTCATGTTTCTCTGTCAAGAAGAGTTGGGATATTAGAGAGAAATGTACTATTGTGGTCAGACTTCTTGTGTGTGTGTGTGTGTGTGTGTGTGTGTGTGTGTGCATGGAATATAGCATCTCAATGTTGTCATATTCCAAATGTTATATTATATATAATATTCATTCCGTGAATCCTGTAAACAAATTGTACCTTATTAGTTTTTTTATGCAGATGTTCTAGTGAGCTAAATGTCAAATATCATCAAAGGGTAACCAGCTATTCAAATGAGCAGAGATAACATGTCTTTGTGGCTGCGTTGTCAATGGCTGGTGGTTATATGGCCCTACTCTACTATGTCCATTAACCATGTATCATAAAGCTGTCATGAGCATGACGTAATAGATCCCAGCCAGTCATAACAACTGGTGTCAAGTTGGGACAACTTAGCTACTTGACACCGTTATGACATGCTTCACCATGTACTGTTGGACCTGTGACGACTTGACCCCTTTTCAGCTGGGCTTGTTGTTGGCCCGCTGAACGTGCCACCGTGTTTTAACGACCAATCGTATGGATCAAGAGGGATTCTGTGTTATCCTCAGTTGTGTCAGTCGGTTTGGAGCCAATGGCACTCCATTTTCCCTATATAGCGCACTACTTTTGAACAGAGCCCTATGGGTCCTGGTCAACAGTACTTTATAGGGACTAGGGTGCCATTTGGGCTGCGGCCTTGCTGTGTGTCTTAAATATAGGACTTCCTGTCACACTTTTGGTTCTGCTCCGATCCATCACCTCTCATTGGACATTGGTGTTGATGACATCACTGCTGAAACACGACTGTCTTTTTCCAGTCCACAAGACACTCATATTCTTGTGGGGAACACAGTTTATACCAACTGTTGTGTGGGTTATGTGCTTCCTTTAGGTCTACCTCAGCCCCCCATGTAGATCAGTTGGTAGAGCATGGTACTTGCAACGCCAGGGTTGTGGGTTCGATTCCCATGGGGGGGCCAGTATGAAAAAAATAAAAATAATTATGCACTCACTAACTGTAAGTCGCTCTGGATAAGAGCGTCTGCTAAATGACTACAATGTAAATGTAGCTGAGCTGCAATTAAGTGTTTTTTATTTTTTATTGTGTGCTAGGAGGATTAGGGTTAGGGTTTGACAAAGCAGCACTCAATTGTTTCACTGAGAGGCTGTGCTTATGCACTGGTATGCCAGCACTTACTACATCACTATGCAAAGACTGGGTTTTTAATCGTTTCTGTTGTTGCCAAAATCCTAAATTAAGCAATACAATACAAATAAAAAGGGATTTCACTGACACACAATGATTTTATTTAGAGATGTGGTAATATTTTCAATGGCCTCCGATACAGACAATATCTGATGATGTGCCAGTGTTAACTCCCAAGCTTTAGGATTTAGGCTTGCCCACCATTACGTATTTTCCTCACTGTCGATGAAATGTGGGATTAGCAGAACTATTTCAGAAGCAACAGCCAAGCAATTGTCACGCCCTGGCTCTGGGACTCTTATATGTTGAGCCAGGGTGTGTAGATTCTATGTGTTTGTGTTTCTATGTTAGGATCTAGTTCATGTGTATCTATGTTGGCCGGGGTGGTTCTCAATCAGAGGCAACGAGAATCAGCTGTTGCTTGTTGTCTCTGATTGGGGAACCATACTTAGGCAGCCTGTTTGGCACAGTGTATTGTGGGATCTTGTTCTGTGTAGGTTTGTGTTATTGACCGTAGACTTCACGTATCGTTTTTGTTGTTTTGTTGCATTGTATTAAGTACTCCATTAAAGATGTACGCCTACCACGCTGCGCCTTGGTCCACTCGTTTTTGACGATTGTGACAGCAATATGACTCAGGAGGGTGTTAAAAGCACAGATCTCTTCAAATGTCATGGTGAACACTGAAGAGTAGGTCTGGTCCTGCTCCGTTTATCAGGACTCGGTTACGAAAACGCTCGGTTACGAAAACAAAGGTGTTTTTTTCTGAGAAAGCTTATGTTCCTTCCAGTCGGACAATTTAGTTTTAGTGCAGTTATGGGCATGGTGGCCTTGATTTAGCAGCATACGTAAATGCGGTCCAAGGGAATTGACAAAGAAGGTGTTTCTTTTTCTGAGAGAGGATGTATCTGTTCTGTGAAGTTTATTCGCTATTCCAGTCAAGCAATTTGGTTTTAGTGTGCAGTCACGACGGCCTTGTTTAGTGGGACATATGTGTGGTTCAAGGGAATTGACTGAGAATAAAAAGCCAGGGAGGGGAAATCTCTGATTGTCTTTTAATGAAGAGCCGCCATCGTGACCGACCGAATTAAGCTAAGAAAATTCCCCACCTACCCTCGAACACATTGTGAAACACCAGTACTTCCCCGGGATAGTGCCCGCTCCCCTCTGTGTCTGTCTGGCAGTAACAAGCTGTGCCCATGGAGATTGACCGCTACATTCCACCAGACACAGCCCATCAAGCTCTTGAGTGGTAGGACTCCTGAAGCCGTAAAATCTGTGTCCCAAACAGCACCCTATTCCCCCCATTTAGTGCACTACATTTGACCTAAGCCTCACATGGCTCTGGTCAAAAGTAGTACACTAGCCTATAGGGAATAGGGTGCCGTTTAGGACACAAGCCTAAGACTGAGGGCCTTTGACAACAGGGGGTTAGATTTAGCATGGAAGCAACATTAACGAATGAGTAGACGTCATTCATCCGTCTTTTATGGCCAGGACTCACCTTTGTGTAAACTCACTCTGTAGTAAAGCCCATCACAGTCAAGTCCAAATAATTTTACATTACAGTCATTTAGCAGACGCTCTTATCCAGAGCGACTTGTGAATATATATTTTTTTTTTATACTGGCCCCCCGTGGGAATCAAACCCACAACCCTGGCATTGCAAACACCATGCTCTATCAACTGAGCTACATCCCTGCCGGCCATTCCCTCCCCTACCCTGGACGAATTGTGCGCCGCCCATGAGTCTCCCGGTCGCGGCCGGCTGCGACAGAGCCTGGATTCGAACCAGGATCTCTAGTGGCACAGTTAGCACTGCGATGCAGTGCCTTAGACCACTGCGCCACTCAGGAGACATACTTGCATTCTATATAGTAGGCCATTTGAGTATGCAGAAAAAAAAGAATGTTTAATAGTATGCGACATTGCTCATCCTAATATTTCTTGTACCCTTTTAGATTTGTGTGTATTGTTGTGAATTGATAGATATTACTGCACTGTTGGAGCTAGGAACACAAGCATTTCACTATAACATCTGCTAAATATGTGTATGTGACCAATAACATTTGATCTGATGATTTGATTTGATTTGTGTCCTTGTAAATAAAACCACTATTCACTTCCACTAGTTCCCTTCTACTTCCTGTTTGCTGTGTGTGTGTGTGTGCCTGTCTTGAGCCTGCAGTAAAGCGTGTTCTGTACATCTGTCTCCTACTGGTCATTACCAGGCCTTCTAACAGAGGTCATTACTACTGGTCATTACCAGGCCTTCTAACAGAGGTCATTACTACTGGTCATTACCAGGCCTTCTAACAGAGGTCATTACTACTGGTCATTACCAGGCCTTCTAACAGAGGTCATTACTACTGGTCATTACCAGGCCTTCTAACAGAGGTCATTACTACTGGTCATTACCAAGCCTTCTAACAGAGGTCATTACTACTGGTCATTACCAGGCCTTCTAACACAGGTCATTACTACTGGTCATTGCGACGCCTTCTAACAGAGGTCATTACTACTGGTCATCACCACACCTTCTAACAGAGGTCATTACTACTGGTCATTACCAGGCCTTCTAACAGAGGTCATTACTACTGGTCATTACCAGGCCTTCTAACAGGTCATTACTACTGGTCATTACCAGGCCTTCTAACAGGTCATTACTACTGGTCATTACCAGGCCTTCTAACAGAGGTCATTACTACTGGTCATTACCACGCCTTCTAACAGAGGTCATTACTACTGGTCATTACCAGGCCTTCTAACAGGTCATTACTACTGGTCATTACCAGGCCTTCTAACAGAGGTCATTACTACTGGTCATTGCCAAGCCTTCTAACAGAGGTCATTACTACTGGTCATTACCAGGCCTTCTAACAGAGGTCATTACTACTGGTCATTACCAGGCCTTCTAACAGGTCATTACTACTGGTCATTACCAAGCTTTCTAACAGAGGTCATTACTACTGGTCATTGCGACGCCTTCTAACACAGGTGCCGGGACGATTGTACTGATATTTAACCGGCACCTCTTCCGGAGACCACAACCAGTTGGTGGCACTCTGTTTCACACTCACAGAGGAGAGGGGAAAGTTAGCTGTCAGTCATGTCATGCTGATGAGTAAGATACGAATTTTGAGAGTGTTGAGAATCAGAGTTGCAATAATACATTAACTGACAATATCACAGGGTCCACTAAAATTGTTTTTGAAGAATAATGGTCTGAATAAAAGTGGTTCTGAAAGTTATTTTCTCAGGTTGAAAAACTGTTACGAACATTGCTTTAAGTCAAACATTCAAGACAGAGATTTTGTACTTTCATGCTTTTGCCTGGTTGCATAAATCACACACAATATTTAATTTGTGGTCTATGATTTATGAAATGACTACAGACTACAGACAGAAGTTGGAGCTGCTAGCAGACTGGTCCAGAGTTAGGAAGAGCCTGACTTTACGAAACCAATTATACCTTGCTGTGTGGTTTCAGGGCCTTTATTAAACCCTTCCTTTATGTGTGGTTTCAGGGCCTTTATTAACCATTTCAGGGCCTTTATTAAACTATACCTTGGTGGTGTGGTTTCAGAGCATATATGAAATATAGACCCAGGCTGTAAGTGAAACACAGCAGTTGTCCAAAAGCGTTCTCCTATACAGTTCTCCTTCATATGTTAAATAGGTGGGGAAATGTTCCCAGCCCGTAGTAGAATAAATGAATCTCCTATACAATTCTCCTTCATACAGTATGTTACATACCTACAGTGAGGGGAAAAAAGTATTTGATCCCCTGCTGATTTTGTACGTTTGCCCACTGACAAAGAAATGATCAGTCTATAATTTTAATGGTAGGTTTATTTGAACAGTGAGAGACAGAATAAAAACAAAAAAATCCAGAAAAACGCATGTCAAAAATGTTATAAATTGATTTGCATTTTAATGAGGGAAATAAGTATTTGACCCCCTCTCAATCAGAAAGATTTCTGGCTCCCAGGTGTCTTTTATACAGGTAACAAGCTGAGATTAGGAGCACACTCTTAAAGGGAGTGCTCCTAATCTCAGCTTGTTACCTGTATAAAAGACACCTGTCCACAGAAGCAATCAATCAATCAGATCCAGATGACCATAGTCACCAAGAAAACAATTGGTAACACACTACGCCGTGAAGGACTGAAATCCTGCAGCGCCCGCAAGGTCCCCCTGCTCAAGAAAGCACATATACATGCCCGTCTGAAGTTTGCCAATGAACATCTGAATGATTCAGAGGAGAACTGGGTGAAAGTGTTGTGGTCAGATGAGACCAAAATGGAGCTCTTTGGCATCAACTCAACTCGCCGTGTTTGGAGGAGGAGGAATGCTGCCTATGACCCCAAGAACACCATCCCCACCGTCAAACATGGAGGTGGAAACATTATGCTTTGGGGGTGTTTTTCTGCTAAGGGGACAGGACAACTTCACTGCATCAAAGGGACGATGGATGGGGCCATGTACCGTCAAATCTTGGGTGAGAACCTCCTTCCCTCAGCCAGGGCATTGAAAATGGGTCGTGGATGGGTATTCCAGCATGACAATGACCCAAAACACACGACCAAGGCAACAAAGGAGAGGCTCAAGAAGAAGCACATTAAGGTCCTGGAGTGGCCTAGCCAGTCTCCAGACCTTAATCCCATAGAAAATCTGTGGAGGGAGCTGAAAGTTCGAGTTGCCAAACGTCAGCCTCGTAACCTTAATGACTTGGAGAAGATCTGCAAAGAGGAGTGGGACAAAATCCCTCCTGAGATGTGTGCAAACCTGGTGGCCAACTACAAGAAACGTCTGACCTCTGTGATTGCCAACAAGGGTTTTGCCACCAAGTACTAAGTCATGTTTTGCAGAGGTGTCAAATACTTATTTCCCACATTAAAATGCAAATCAATTTATGACATTTTTGACATGCGTTTTTCTGGATATTTGTTGTTGTTATTCTGTCTCTCACTGTTCAAATAAACCTACCATTAAAATGATAGACTGATAATTTCTTTGTCAGTGGGCAAACGTACAAAATCAGCAGGGGATCAAATACTTTTTTCCCTCACTGTAGGTGGTAAAACTTTCTCCAACTTGTAAACAAATTCGAAATGAAATAAATCAGTGTTAAACTGTGCCATATGGCTTTGGCTGTAACCTAATGCCTGGTAGAGTCATGCAGGGAGACTAGAGATGAATGATCAGCCTATATGGATTGATTGCAGGGCGGCGGAGAGCAGTGACAGCAGACTGCTAACAGATTCCTCCCAGGGGGAACCATAGAAACACATGATCTGGGTTACATCCCAAACTGTACCCTGTTCCCTTTTATAGTGCACTACTTTTGACCAGGGCCCATATATATATATATATATATAGGGAATAGGGTGCCATTTGGGCAGACCGCTGGTGACCCTGAACGCAACACCACAGCAGGTGATTGATTGGGATTTCGCAGCTTATCGGAGAGGAGCGGTTGACTTCACTGGTTTGTGTCAAAACCATGTTGTGTCAAAACACGGTTGGTTGCCGTGCTGTCAACAAAGTCAGATTCCCGGATGATCTTCATCTTGATTACATAAGTGCCGTAACATCATTGCACTTTAGGGATCTTTGCGTTTGCACACTTCTGGGAAAGGAAAACACTGGTTACATCCCGTTAAAAACATTTTAAAAATATGGTTGAAATGATGTGGTTATAGGTGAAATATAACCATGGTAATCAGGGTTATAGTGTCTTCAGAAAGTATTCATACCCCTTGACTTATTCCACGTCTTGTTGTGTTACAGCCTGAATTCAAAATTGATTAAATAAAGAATTACATCTCACCCATCTACACACAATACACCATAATGATAAAGTGAAAACATTTATTTAAAATGAAATATCCCATTTACATACACTACCATTTTACATTTACGTCATTTAGCAGACGCTCTTATCCAGAGCGACTTACATATTTTTTTTATACTGGCCCCCTGTGGGAATCGAACCCACAACCCTGGCGTTGCAAACACCATGCTCTATCAACTGAGCTACATCCCTGCCGGCCATTCCCTCCCCTACCCTGGACGACGCTGGGCCAATTGTGCGCCGCCCATGAGTCTCCCGGTCAAGGCCAGCTGCGACAGAACCTGGATTTGAACCAGGATCTCTAGTGGCACAGTTAGCACTGCGATGCAGTGCCTTAGACCACTGCACCACTCAGGAGTACAGTCAAAAGTTTGGACACACCTACTCATTCAAGGGTTTTTCTTTATTTTTACTATTTTCTACATTGTAGAATAATAGTGAAGACATCAAAACTATGAAATAACCAATATGGAATCATGTAGTAAGCAAAAAAGTGTTAAACAAATTAAAATATATTTTAGCCACTGTTTGCCTTGATGACAGCTTTGCACACTCTTGGCATTCTCTCAACCAGCTTCACCTGGAATGCTTTTCCAACAGTCTTGAAGGAGTTCCCACATATGCTGAGCACTTGTTGGCTGCTTTTCCTTCACTCTGCGGTCCGACTCATCCCAAACCATCTCAATTGGGTTGAGGTCGGAGGATTATGGAGGCCAGATCATCTGATGCAGCACTCCATCCCTCACCTTCTTGGTCAAATAGCCCTTACACAGCCTGGAGGTGTGTTGGGTCATTGTCCTGTTGAAAAACATATGATAGTCCCACTAAGCCCAAACCAGATGGGATGGCATATCGCTGCAGAATGCTGTGGTAGCCATGCTGGTTAAGTGTGCCTTGAATTCTAAATAAATCACAGACAGTGTCACCAACAAAGCACCCCCACACCATAACACCTCCTCCTCCATGCTTTACGGTGGGAAATACACATGCAGAGATCATCCGTTCACCCACACCGCATCTCACAAAGACACGGCGGTTGGAACCAAAAATCTCCAATTTGGACTCCAGACTAAAGGACACATTTCCACCGGTCTAATGTCCATTACTCGTGTTTCTTTGCCCAAGCAGGTCTCTTCTTCTTATTGGTGTCCTTTAGTAGTGGTTTCTTTGCAGCAATTTGACCATGAAGGCCTGATTCACACAGTCTCCTCTGAACAGTTGATGTTGAGATGTGTCTGTCACTTGAACTCTGTGAAGCATTTATTTGGGCTGCAATTTCTGATGCTGGTAACTCTAATGAACGTATCTTCTGCAGCAGAGGTAACTCTGGGTCTTCCTTTCCTGTGGCAGTCCTCATGAGAGCCAGTTTCATCATCGCACTTAGGTTAAATATAGCCATTGTAATCAGGTTGAAATGATGTGGTTATATGTTAAATATATTTAAAAACATGTTTTCACTTGTCACTATGGGGTATTGTGTGTAGAAAAAATATATACTTAATCCATTTTGAATTCAGGCTGTAACACAACAAAATGTGGAATAAGTCAAGGGGCACTGTACATCCCATAAAAAATATTACAAAAATATTGTTGAAATGAAGTGGTTATAGGTGAAATATAACCATGGTAATCAGGTTGAAATTATGCGGTTATAGGTGAAATATAGCCATGGTAATCAGGTTGAAATGATGTGGTTAAAGGTGAAATATAGCCATGGTAATCAGGTTGAAATTATGTGGTTATAGGTGAAATATAGCCATGGTAATCAGGTTGAAATGATGTGGTTAAAGGTGAAATATAGCCATGGTAATCAGGTTGAAATGATGTGGTTAAAGAAAGGTGAAATATAGCCATGGTAATCAGGTTGAAATGATGTGGTTAAAGGTGAAATATAACCATGGTAATCAGGTTGAAATGATGTGGTTATAGGTGAAATATAGCCATGGTAATCAGGATCGTTTGTAGTATCCCAGGACGTTATTCCGTACATGGCAATTTATCACCGTACGAGACCTCTTACACGCCCGTTAATATCGTCCAACAAGAAACAGACGATGTCATCCAAAGTTGCCTGCCAGTGAGTTCTTCTTCATGTTTTTATTCATTTAGTCTACATTTCATCGCTGAACGGAGCCGTTATTCATGTTGTTAGTTTGTTTAGATTCAGGGGTCATTTAGATCAGCACCATAGTAGTAACAGCCTTGGAAGGCTTCATAACGTGGAGAGAGACGCTCTCTGGCACCCAGACCTGAACAAAGAGCCAAAGCTGTGACCTTCTTTGTGCTTTATTAAGTAAACAGACAAATCAAAAATATGGACAGAGTTGGTTCTGTTTCTGGTCTTGGCCGTCTGTTGAGAGAACCAGACGTGATATTGGCACTGTCGCCATGCAGAGTAGTCCAATAGGGTCGGTCACGCTCTCTGAACAATATTCCTCTTGACCGTAATTAATGCGCCGAAGTCCAGACGCTTGTTTTGTGTGTCCCAAATGGCGCCATGTTGAATAGGGCTCTGGTCAAAAGTAGTGCACTGTATAGGGAATAGGGTATCATTTGGGACGCGCACATTGTCTTCATAACGAGGTCAGATTGATTGTAATTCACAGCTGCATATTTAGACTCGGGAGAACGTATCGGAGTCATGATTTTCTGGACAAACTGACATGCCGCATTCAGTTGAATTTCCTATTAATATCTAATCACGATCCTGGCGTCTTGGGAGAAGCTTGTGGCCACAAATTGTATGGCCTGAGTCAGAGGACATGACACACAGCATAAAATATGTCCCTGACAAGAAAGGACATGGATGGCCCCAAAAGTTCCAACAACATAGTTACGGTATATGCATCATATTGACAAAAGCTTTCCTTAGCCTTTCTCCTTTGATTTCTGGTCAGAATATATATAATAGCATTAGGCATGTTTCTATTTTGGTTTGGGGAAGAGCAATTGGTCTTAATTCAAACATGAGGCATTGACTGACTACACACGCTGTGTACGCCTCACACTTGTTATGACGCGATAACATCTACACCCAGAGAGTGAGGGATATTTTGCATTAAGATAGAAAAAGGGGGTGGGCAAACGTTTATGCAGAACCACAGTACACAAGTAAGCTATTCATCTGGTGCTGACTGTGAAGCTCTGGAAACTCCCCAGTCACAGCCAGAGATCAGGCTTGGCTTTGTGTGGCCATCATAACTAACTGTCTAAAATGTGGAAAAACTGTTGGACTGCTAAAGCACCCGTAACATTCCATATCCTTAAAGAAATTCATAACAATAATAAATCTGTCAATTTTTTTCTTCTCTTGGAAGTCTGGGTCGGTCACTCAGCTCCATATAATATTAGAGAGTTGTTTTCCCGCCCACTTAAATCATCAAAGCATGGATTTAAGTTAACTAGCTTGATTAGTTTTTAGTCATCAATGGAATCATCCGTGGGCGTGGGCATCGTAAAACAGGATGTTGCTAAAACCAAGTGAAGTGAAGTACTTTACCAAGGAGAACAGTGGTACAGGAGTGTTTGAATCCCTGGTGGCTTCACCTGCCTGACCCCCCATTCTTCTCACATAGTTGACAGAACGTGTTACTAAACTGCAGCTCCCGCTGTGTCTCCTCTGAGATGAATGGAGGAAGGTGAACGTTGCTATGTTGCTTCTGGCTGGAGAGGATCCGACCCCCTAGTCACAGAGGCATCATCATTCATCATCGCTGATTTTCAGGGGTTTTATTGCCTCCGTAATTACTCTCACTGATACTTTACACTTCCTGTTTTATTGGATTTCTTTGGATTCATGGGTATCCGGCATGTCCACACCTTGATGTGTGTCTGACGGTCCTTCCTCCTCCGTTTAAACGCTCTCTTTGAAGCTGTCACGCCCTGGCTCTGGGGACACTTGTATGTTGAGCCAGGGTGTGCATTTCATTATCTAGTAGTGCATTTCTATGTTGGCCAGATTGGTTCCCAATCAGAGGCAACGAGTGTCAGCTGTGGCTGGTTGTCTCTGATTGGGAACCATATTTATACAGGCTGTTTTCCCACAGTTGTTGTGGGATCTTGTTCGTGTTTGACCATAGACTGTCACGTTATCGTTTTGTTGTTTTGATCGTGTTCACAAATAAAGAGTATGTTTGCCTGCAACGCTGCGCCTTGGTCCTCCTCTCTTCCCGACGAACGTGACAGAAGCGTGGTATCACATTTCCTTCAATTTCCCATAAATGCCTCCCTCCATCCTTCCATGGAATATCTTCCAGTAAGAACCAGCAATAGTGATTAAACTCAGACTTCAGACATTTAATTTGGCTGCTCCTTGATGCAACTGCAGAAGTAAAATAAAAAAGGGAAATTGGAGAGAAAAAAACGTTGTGACCATAGAACGGCCCACGGTTCTAATCCAGAGCTGTGGTAAAAAGTCATAAGGCAGAAAAACAAAAGGTCTGGGCAGCCAACACTTTGATGAAGCATCTCTTTCACAATGTCCCAGGACAGCTGCAGGCTGGTGCAGGGACGGGGGTGTGTCTGTGGCTGCTGTTACATGAGCTCCCTCTGAACAAACCCATTCCAACGCTGGAGGAAGCCCTCTGTGGCCTAATGGCTTCAGGCAGCTGGTGTTCTTGGAAGCAGGCCTTCCTTTGGTTCAGAGGCAGCAGCCCCGGCCACACCAACGCCAAGGCACTTGCCTGGGCTTTGGGAAACGGGTGGTCCATTATGGGCGAAGATCAAGAAAGCCCCGATGGCAGTTCAGATGTCCTGTTGATTTGGTGAACTGCACACATCTGAAGAGATGGAGTGGGAGGGGTGTATCTTTTCCTGGTTGGATTCCTACCAAGGTTCTGTGTTTACATCATTAAACCACTCTGGTGGATGTGTAGGATCGGCAGTGATGTCATCATTACCATCCTCATCCTAGACCAATGTAGAACAAGAGAAAACAGCCCTCATCCTAGATCACTGTTGCAGCAGAGAAAACAGCCCTCATCCTAGATCACTGTAGCAGCAGAGAGAACAGTCCTCATCCTAGATCACTGTAGCAGCAGAGAAAACAGCCCTCATCCTAGATCACTGTAGCAGCAGAGAGAACAGCCCTCATCCTAGAACACTGTTGCAGCAGAGAGAACAGCCCTCATCCTAGATCACTGTAGCAGCAGAGAAAACAGCCCTCATCCTAGAACACTGTAGCAGCAGAGAGAACAGCCCTCATCCTAGATCACTGTAGCAGCAGAGAGAACAGCCCTCATCCTAGATCACTGTTGCAGCAGAGATAACAGCCCTCATCCTAGATCACTGTAGCAGCAGCGAGAACAGCCCTCATCCTAGATCACTGTAGCAGCAGAGAGAACAGCCCTCATCCTAAATCACTGTAGAAGCAGCGAGAACAGCCCTCATCCTAAATCACTGTAGAAGCAGCGAGAACAGCCCTCATCCTAAATCACTGTAGCAGCATAGAGAACAGCCCTCAGACTTCAAAGGAACTAACGAATGATCCCAAACTCAGTTCATCCATTCACAAAATACAGCATGGTACAACCTTATAGAGAGGGACAGATTTGAAATGGTAATTACTTAATCAAAGAACAGCGAGCTTGGAAAAGGAAATACCCTCTGGAGGATCATGGTCAGAGTCAGGACTTTAAAGTCACATTTTAGTAGGGACACTGCCTGAATACATGGCATTAACTCTTGGAGGCTGATGAGTCGTTTAGCAGAAACCAAATTGACATCAGGAAGCACTGTGTAATTGGAAAGGACACTGAGATGAGTATAGCCTGGACTGAGCTCCGTTTAAGAGGAAAGGACATGAAAAGGACAGGGAGGACTTCTCTGTTGGAGAGAAGGGAGGGACCAAAACGTAGCAGAGCAAAGTTCAACATGTCTGAGGTAGGATCGATATGGCAGGAATAACCCAGGCCTTATCTTGGTGGCCTGATCACCATACAGGAAGAACGTTGTACATTTATATACTGTATGTTTCTTCTCAAGTATTCAGGCTAACCAAGAGACCATTTGAACCTGCCTTGTATCCCCGCGGGGGGGCCGTACCCATGTTTGAAGCAGTTGGTAGGCCTACGTCCATTCCTCTTGGACCACAGTTCTCAACAAATGGTAAAAGAGGATGATGAAGCGGCATTCCCTCTAACCCTTTGGGAGTCTTTGAAACACGGTAGATTTAGAGAACCTTTTGAGCTTCGTTCATGCTCTGGTTAGCCACGGCCAACCACACACTGGGGCTCTGATGTTGCCTTCAAGGGCCAGATGTTGATCGCTCCACTGGTCTTTGTAGTGTGGCAGTTTCCAATAACTGGGGACTCTTGTAAGGAACAACCAAATAAATCATTGATTCACTCCATTGCTATTTGGGCCTTGTTTTTTCATGATACAGCGCGAGGATATCCTGCCTCGATTCCCTTTCCCTGATAGCGTACCTTTTTACCTCAGTTAGTTTTGTGAGCCTGAGTCATGTTTGTAAATGGAAATACTTTTACTGCACAGTTCAAGACCGCTGAATCACACCCTTATGAAAGTAGAACTGGACCGCACTGTACAGTAGCATTCACAGCCCTACACCTCCTGCTTTCCAGATAAATATTAGCCCAATACATAACTCACCTTCTGCCTGCCGCAGCCCAGCCTACGATGCCCTCAGCCTTTTAGTCAAACCAGGAGAACTTTGACTCATCGCACCGCAGGATTCACTCAAGATCTACTGTACGACGCAACGCTCCGACAAGTGTGAATTTAAGACTTGCTGTGGTTTCTGGGTTCTCCTAGGGGTTTCTGCCAGTCCGCATTTACATGGAACAGCGGCGGTGGTGGTGTTGTCATTGAGCTGCCTTCAACAGGGGCAGACTGGAGCGCTGAAGCATGGGAGCGTAGGAGAGACACATTTCAGAAGCTATCCAAACCAACCTCCAGCTCACCCCCCCCCCCATAGGTCTACTGTACCACGGCACACCTCCATCCATCTGGCAAAGAGTCCCACCAACATCACGCCCTGCCTCAAACCCAGCCTTTCAAGACACATCGTCGCTGCCTCCGCCGACTCTACCAACCCTTACCCTGACCGACTGTGTTTCCAGTGGTTACATCATGTTATGTTCTCTAATGCTCTCCATGTGGAAATAAATAGTTTCTGAACTGGGAGGAATTGCAACACTTTAGTTCACCTGGGTTACTGGTTTTAGTCGCCTGTTAACTGACTTCACACACGGAAGTAATTTGGTCATGCAAGGGTTTATGTGCTTACATCCTGCGGTGTAAAATATTATTCATTTTCAGAGTCTGATTCTTGCTACAGAGATGGTACCACTGGACAGTTTGACAGACTGGGAGGATTAGTGGTTTAAACCAGGAAATGTTTGAATTGTCTTCCATTTTTTCGATTTGACTGAATGGAATAACTGTCAAATATCACATGAACGAAGAAGATTTTACTTAATACAGTTTGACGGATTGATTACATTTCAAAGCATAGTCCGTAAAATGCCACCGATCCACCGACCCAAGGCCATAGTTATAGAATCAGACTATAATAGCCAACACCTGTTTAGTTGGCCCAGGTTCATAGCTTCTGTTCCTTTCCCAAGAGACCTGTGTTGCATCCCAAATGGCACCCTGTTCCCTTCATAGTGCACTACTTTTGATCAGGGCCCAATAGGACTCTGGTCAAAAGTAGTGCACTATATATATATATAAATAGGGTGCCATTTGGGACACAGCCTCACTCTCACACCAAACATTCCCCAGATTTCCAGGAAACTCTCGTGCTGGTTCCCCGCATCATAACCTCACTTGACGAAGAGGTCATTCATGCTAGTCTGCAGTGTCTGGGATGCCCAGGTTATCCCCCTATAGAAGACGAGTCATCTTCATCGGAGCCCTTTTCAAACGGAGGGCAGAAGACTTGGGCTTCCCTGAAGCCATTCATGTGGTCAATCTCGTACTTCCAAGAAAGAAGAACCGGTCCGTAATGCCGCAGCAGAGTGAACTTCAGCGCGCCACCACTGTGGTTTCAGGGGATGCGTCCGAAATGGCACCCTATTCCCTATATAGTGCACTACTTTTGACCAGAGCCCTATGAGCTTGGTCAAAAGTAATGCACTATATAGGGAATAGGGGGGGTCATTTGGGACAAAACTCCTCTGGATGGAGCAGCTTAAGAAAATTCTCTTAACAACTCCTTAAACAAATATGGTGCGGTGAAAACCAAGGAGCACATTCACTGATATTTCATTCTTTCCCCTTCGGAACAGGATCTGTTTCTGAATGAGAGACTTATTTCCATTCTGCACCTATCAATTTCTACTGAAGGATTAAACAGTTTCTTCTGTTCTCTTTCCAGTCACAAAACCTCGGCAGACAAATATAGTTTCAACGTCCTTTTACTGGCAATGAATTCATTTGATTTAGCTCTCCTTGTTTGGCTTTTTACAGTAGTCAAAGCATCTGTCTGTCTGTCTGATCCTGAGTATGGAATAATCTGCATTCTGTGTATCCTATGGCTCATTGAGGTAAAATATGCCCGGGACTACGAGTCATCAGAAAACAATCATGGATAATCGAAAGAAAAGCAAATGGGGGAAGTTTAACTAACGTTCAGACCTTGAGAAGATTCACA